TATTCAGCAAATGTGAGAGGCTATGTTAAATTAGTTCCATCTGCTCCACTTTATGATCACCCCTTCTTATGTTTCTACCAGATGAATGCTCCTCTCTTCTCTACATACAACTATTTAATGTCAATGAAATAAATACTAATAATCCTGGAAAATGTTTCTTAACAGCTCCAAATTTTTCACTTTTAAGTGTTACCAAGGCACTTAACATTCTCTCGTATTTGTGAAAGTGTTAAAAACAGGTGTAAAATGGAAAGTTGGAAAATAGGTAGAAAACACGAAGTTGGAAAATAGGTAGAAAACACAGACTTCTAAACTCTGTCATCAAGCAGCAAATTTGAAGGTTTATGATTCACAATAACCCAGTGTATACTTTATGACAATCAGGAAGAGAAAAGACAAAGACTCCAAAGATTAAGAGATAGTAGAAGGAAAGGAAATTGCCCTGATTTGATCCATCCATACTTTATGCATATGATCAATTATCACAGTGTATTTCATTACATATACATTTAATATATACTAATTTTAAAAGAAATATAAATTCAGAAAATTTAGATGGAAGAAAGATTATTTTACCCATATAATTTCTTTGTAGTACTTGGGATTGGATCCAGGGCCTTACTCACTCTCCCATTTGAGCTATGCCCTCCAGCCCTTTGGTGCTTACTTTGTTTGTAAGATAGGGTCTTTCTAACTTTTCCAGTGTTAGCTTTGATTTTCCAGATCTCCTATCTGCATCCCAGGTAGTTGAGATTGCAGGCTTGACACCATGTGCAGCTTTACCTGCTAAATTTGTCCATATAATAAACTATCATAAGAACCCATTGTATTTGGCGTACAGTTTGGAAATCCCTGGGTGGGACAGTTGTGCTTTAAATTTTGGTATTCCTTCAAAGACTACTTTGTCAACATTGTCTGTGAAAAAATCAATGAGAACTAACTCCTTTGGTTGTTACTGAAATGCAGTGTGATTGTAAAGTTTTTAAATGTTGTTTCAAGTAAGGAAAGAAAGAAAGAAAAAAAAAGAACTCGACTACCATTATAAATTATACTCTGACTTTGAAATATGAACCTATATATAGTAATAAAGCAATTTAGTTAATTTTATTTTGGAAACTCAAGCTTTTTAATGCAGTTCACTTTTATGTATTCTTCATGAAAGATCACCAAAATAGAATGTGTTTTCACTTCTCATTGACAGATCAAGACCCAGGGCTGACTTCACATTCTTTTCCTAAAGTTCCAAATGCATAAGGTGGCACTACCAAATTTGGGTTTATATAGTCTGACTCTAGAAGCCATTGTTTTGTGGTACTGGCCATTAAACCCAGGGCTTTGCTTTGTGCTAGGCGAGAGTTCTATCACTGATCTGCACACTTAGCACTAGAGTCCATACTCGTAATCACTGTATTCCACCACCCACCTAACAGTGAGACAAGTGCAGTTTTTAGTCATTACATTAGCATTCTAAAGTTCTTCTGTCTAGACTGTTTGAAAAATATCTATTTCAAGAAATAATGTACTATCTTCCTTTTGAAAGAAACCGATTTAAAATTTTATTCTGGTAATTTATAGCAAACAACCTCAAGTGTTTAGTTTATTTCTCTACTTTCAGAGTTTTCATTAGGATAATTCATCTTCCAAGTGAAATGCCTAAATCTGGTGTTATTATATTGCAACACAAAAAAGATATGAAAATGACATTGGACACATTCATCCCTACTTATTCTAAAAATGCAAGGATCATTACAATTCATAGTTTTTTGTTTAGGTCAATTATGTTGCGGGGGGATGAATCAAACTTTGGATGGATGTATGGCCACATAATTTAAAAAATAATTTCAGCACTTCACTTCCTTGTTTTAATAAAATATTCAATAAAATATGCAGCTTAATATTCAATAAAGAAGAATACTGGAAACTGGGGAATTTTTTCTTATCTTTATTTGGTGCATTTCTGTAGGTGGCACTTAATGGGTGATTCTCCATTGACATTTTTTTATTTCATAAAATGTGTGGGTTATGTATAATAAATGCCACAGTTTCTGATAAGAATCAACCATTCTAATCTTTGTTCCACTGTGTATAGGTACAATGTGACTTTTGATCTACCTTATTTTAAGATTCCTTATTTATATCTGTCTTTCAGGTTTCAAAATATGATTTACCTATGTTTGGCTTACTTTATTATCTCACATGGAGTGACTGATGTTCCTAATCAAGAAGAAAAATATATAAAATATTCCTTTTTATATGCTTTCTGCACAATTTTTTTCTCCTTTTCTCTAGGAATGTTCTTTACCATAGTTTACAGACATTCATTCATACACAGAGTCTTAGTTCATTTTCTCAACACTGAAATATTAAAATAAGTCTTATGACTATTCATAGTGTATTGATTTAGCTTTATGTTAGTGTATTATTTCTTCTGAATTATCTAGTCCTATAGGGTGTGACAAGCAAGAATTACTTATTTCAGAATTTTCTTCATATTCTTATGTCTTTCTATTACTGATTTCTAGTTTGTTTACATTATAGTAGAAATGTTTGTATTTTAAACTTTTTATTATCCATCTAAATTTATGACCCACCAAATGAGTTATTCTGATACAAGTTTTTAGACAGGTGAATATAAGGCATATCTTGCTGATGTTAAATTTATGGATTGCTTGGTAAATGGTGTTGAATTTTATATCCCTGATGACTTGGAACTGTCCCTAATAATTGTACAGAGATAGTTCTATGTGTGTCTTTTTCTCATTTCTCCCAGACTTTCTTGTTCATATTGTACTGTCTGTAGTTTGATAGATTTGTAGTTTGGTAGATTTGTCTTACACTATTACAGGAGAATTCAAATTTTACAAAATTTTATACTCTTCTGTACTCATTTATAATGAGATATCTATGAAGTTCATGTGTGTAAAAACTAAGAAAAAGTCATGTATATACATACATATATTACTTAAATATACTAAAAGTCTAGCAGAGTGGCTCAAGCCTATAATCCTATCTACTCAGGAGGCAGAGAGCTGAAGAATAGTGGTTTGAGACCATCATCAGAAAAACGTCTATGACACACATAGCAACTAATGACTGGGCCCATTTGTCTCAATCTGTATTCACCAGTTATGTAGAGAAGCACAAATAAAAGGATTGCAATCTATGATGGCCCAAGCACAAAGTGAAATTCTTTCTCACAAATAACTACGGCAAAAAGTACTGGCAGAATGATTCAAGTAGTAGAACATCTAAATGGCTGATGTTAAAACCAAAAGAAACTAGTACTTAAAAAAAAAAGAAAAAGAAAACCCCATTAGAGCCTATTGTATGAAATACAGCTGAACTTTTAAGGCATATTATTTAGTATTGTTAGAATTATTTAAAATGAATTCTTATTATTAACTAATATTTCTCAATTTAAATTATTGGCATAAAACATAATATTCTGTATTTATTAATGATATATGTAAAGCACAATAAGGTAATCTGACAGAAGTCTTAGAAATTAGTTCATAACTTAATAAAATTTATATTTTTAACAGAAATTTGTACAAAATATAAAATAACATCTTTGAAAATGATAAAGTTGAGCTTTCTGGTGTGTACATGACTTTTGAAATAGATTTTATTGTTTACACTAGTTTAAGGTTCCCACAAAAGTGAAACAGAAAAATACAGGGCGTAACTTAACGCCTATACAATGCTACTCACAGTTTCCCTTATTATAACATCTTGCTTTAATGTGGCAAATTTGTTATAATTGAAGTGATGACCAGCATCAAATTTTTTGTGAAATACACATATTACCCTAAGAATTGCCCTTTCCAAGATTTACGATTTTTGACAAATGCATTTTATCTCGTGTCCACCATTACAGTAGCACACAGAACAGTTTCACTAAAGGAAAGTGGCCTGTGTTTCACCTATTTATTCATCATGCAACTTGTCTTCTTTACCTTCACCTCAGGCAATCAAAGATATTTTTCCTTGTTGAAAATTTTCCCTTTCAAGGAAGAAATTTTATAATAAATTTTATTACAAATTCTAAATGTGCTCCTGTGAATGACCTCATTCTTTATATTATTCTATAAAAATTTCAAAAGTTACTAACATGGCTTAGCTCCTAATACATATAAATACATACTCCTGATTTGGGTCATGGATGGTACAGTGATAATAAACCTATAACATAAATAAACATCCAAAACTGATATGATTCTGGAAAAATTAGAAGGGATCAATTGTGATCATAAAGTATTATTAGAAGTAGAATACTAATATTAGGAAAAAAGTCTGGCTAAGATCAAAGAACTCCTGCAGAGGGTTCATTTTCTATGTTCATGTGTTGTCTTTGCAAGTTCTATGCAAATAGTTGTTAAAGACTCAAAATATATTCTCCCAAGACCTACATAGGACATTACATAGATTTTATATACTGTTTTTCATAAGATGACACCTCTATAAGTATTTGAATATGAAACATTGTCTGGAGTCAGAAAGAAAGTGTAAGTAGAGGTTTCCTGATCACATATGAGAGACTCAAATGACTAATAAAAGAAATTATTTGGCCAAGAAAAATGTGCTGTTGTTTTGATATGAGCATATGAAAGGACATTTAGAGACAGAAATACAATGCATCAACAGGAAAACTCCCTGGGAAAACATTAGGTAAAAACTAAAAGGGAAAACAGGGAGAAAAGAGAGCCAGAGGCACAGCAGTGAACAGTGTTATGCTATAGACATATCATATAAACATGGAGCATCAGGCTGATCCTTTTACATGAAATGGAATCAAACCAACTGCTGTATGTGCTCACCTATTCTCTCTTCCTGAAAGAAATGTTAGTCATACTCCAAGGAAGTATTATATTTAAATCCATTATAAGAAGGTATTATTTCCACAATTTACCCCCAAACAATGCAATAGTAAAAAAACACATAGTATTTTTGATTGACTTTTAGGATATCAAAAATTGGAAGAAATGGTTTAAAAACTCTATTCATCTTAGGTCATCTAAGAACAGTCTCTTCCTCCACAACTTTTTCATGGCATATTTCACTTCTGTATTCCTCAGTGTATAAATCATAGGGTTGAGCAAAGGTGTCCCAATTGTATAAAAAACAGATATAATCTTATCCATGGGGAAGGTGGTTGCAGGGCGTGTGTAGATAAATATACAAGGTCCAGAGAACAAGATGACCACAATGATATGGGAGATGCAGGTGGAGACAGCTTTTCTCCTCCCTTCAGCACTGTGGTTTCTAAGTGAATGCAAGATGATAGTATAGGAGCATATGAGGATGACAAAACTCACTGTACAAATGGCCCCACTGTTTGACACCAGAAAAAGATTGACCACATAAGTGTCAGAACAGGCAAGTTTCAACAAGGGCTGCAAGTCACAGAAATAATGATCAATCACATTGGGACCACAGAAAGGCAAACAGAAGGTCAAAAAAATCTGAGTTAAAGAATGCACACAGGATCCCACCCAGGCCACAACCAACAACATACCACAGACTTGATGGCTCATGATGGTCTTGTACTGCAGGGGCTTACAGATGGCCACATAGCGGTCAACAGCCATGAGGATAAGGATAAAGATTTCCAGGCTGCCAAAGAAATGGAGTGAAAAGACTTGGATTATGCACTCACTGAACGAAATAGTGGCCTTACTCAAAAGGGCATACACGATCATTCTGGGGGCAATGCAAGTAGAGAAGCAGGTATCAGATAAAGATAAATAGAAAAGGAAGAAGTACATTGGACTATGAAGTGCCTGACTGGTCTTGATGGTAACAATAATAAGCAAGTTACCCAGTAGTGTTCCCAAACAAAAGAGTAAGAATATGACAAACACTATTTTCTTTCTAAGTGGGTCCTGTGTCAATCCAAGCAGAATGAACTCAGTCACATTATTATTCAGCTGCATGGTATCACAAATGAAGAATAGGAGTGATTCTCAAGTGACTTATCTGTAAAAGAAAATAAATTTCATTTATATTTTCTATGAAATTAGGGAATATTTAAGAAAATTAATTCATAGTGTTCTGTGATATCATTGAATATTTAAAGCAACAATAAGAATAATTATTGGGTAAGTTTTGTCTGGAATTTTTTAATAACTCATCTCTGATTTTGTAAACACTAGGGGATATGAGCCATTTTTGATAATTAATTATAACTCAACACCAGTTCTATTTTTCTTTCCCTATTTTCTGAAAAGCAAGCCTTAGAGCACTCATAACCCTATGAATGTATTTCTATATTAACTAGTAAGTGATGTTACTTAATAGTTAATGCTTTTGTGAATCAACAAGTGACTTTTTGTGGTGACTGACACTAGGTGTTTGGTGTAGAACCAGAGTATGACTGTAATTCTCAAAAGCAGGTTCACTGGAATGCACCACAGAAGCAAAACCAAAAAGGAGCTGAGGATTTACAAGATGAATAGTCCTCAGTAACTGTCTGCATGCAGTTTGTTTTAATTCGTATCAATGTTAATGATTGTTCATGTTTAAAATTTTACTTCTTTAATAGATTTCTTTTCCAAAATGTAAAAAGAAATATAAGTGTATCTCTAAGAACAAATCCTTTTTCTCAGAACTTTCTTATCAAGATTATGTTTTAAGGGAAACTATGGCCAGTGAAAATTTAAATTTAAAATATACATAATTAAATATATTATAGATCATTCATGCAAACTATTGTCTTCCCCAAAAGACACCAATAAATTTTATTGAATGTTTTTTCTTGACCAAAATAAATACTATGCTCAACTATATAATATATGCCTATTTTTTTCTCCTTTGGTAAATTTTCATCCCAACAGACTTGAGAATGCCTTCTTCTAAATCAAAACTAATCATGGGAAAGTACCCGGTGAAATTATAAATTAGATTCAAGTCATCTGGAACTAATTTTAAGGATTTTGTCTCCCATATATGACCTATTTCCTCTTCTATAATATGCTGCCATCTAGGAAATAGAGAACATGATTTCCAAATCAATAACACTAACTGAAGTCCATTAAAATTAAGGAAGTTTGAAGAGGGAATGCTCACATAGGAGAATTAAATGTACATGGTAGAATTCTCATGATTGAATTAAAGTACAACCCAGAGACTGAATTACATACACATAGATTTCCAATCAAATCCTGGAATCTTCTATCTTCCTGGCCTTCCTATTTTCAGGTACTTTATGCATCTGTGCTATCTTCAAGACTTCAGTTCTACGAAACATTTCCTAGGTGCTTTTCTGTAATTGTCCATGATATCACTGAGATATGGATGAGTGCACATTCTCCAGAACCTTTGTGAAATCTCAGCTCTCCATTAACCATTTTTCTAAATTCTAACCAGGCATAAAATCTTCTAATTTTATACTATCTGTATCACTTAATGAGTAATTATCTTGCACAGTTAACTACTTGAAATCATTAATGACCTTTTTTTACTCTCTATCATTGTAAATAATTTGTAGTAGCTCCTACATAATTACTGCATCCTTCTCTCTCCACACTGCATTCATGGTATTCATGTCCCTGATGCTCATAAAATTCTAGGTGAGGTCAAACCATCATTTTTCTATGAAAATTGTTTTCATTCATTTATTTCTGATAATAATAATCTCAAAAAATTTTCTTTTTATTCTTTTCTGAGAGTATGTGGAAACAGTGTAGTCATATATGAGTTATAGAGAAACATAGAAAAATGCAATGTATTATTTTGTAATAATGCAATGTGTCACTTACCTGTTGGAAGACTCTCTGAATTTGTGTCATGTATGTCTGTCTCTTTATGATAGCATTCTTGTCACAGAACACTAAAAGCTGTCTGTCTCTATATTCCATGGGGAATATTTTAAAACATAATGATGCAAGGTATTGGTATCATAGAAAGTCTTATTCCCCAATGTTTCCCTTTCACTGTGAGTCATCACCATTGCAACTGTAAAACTTAACTTCTGCTTTTTAAATGTAGACAACAAGGACAATAATTTACTCTTTCTCAGAACAATTAAACATACTAACAATGGTTCTAAGATGTCACTGCTTTGTGCTAACCAAAGATATTAGGGAAAAAAAGAGGAAAATCACAAATGGATAATAAACACTGGTAGAAAATAGGAATAAAAACACTGCCATTGTACAAAAGGAAATGGATAATTCAGGTTATAACTCTTCTCACGGTCCTATACAGGCCCATTCTGCACCAAAGGACACAAGTTTCTAGGACTTGTAATTTATTTGCAAATTCTACTAGGAAGGCAATGTTATATTCTTATGCAAGAGGTTCTGCATGGTAGATTCTGAACATCTTGCCATACTGAACTAGAGATTTATACCAAGTAGTGTGAAGATAAATTAGTACCCCAAACATTGGTTACAATGTAATTGGTACCATCCAGTTTATTTCAAATCAATTTCCATTGTTTTTGCTAACTCATATTAGTAAAAACACAGCTAATAAGGAATACATTTTTTTGAAATAATTTTATCTTTTATATACTAGCATCAATATCAATTTATGTTATTATATCTTCATTTCTTATAATCATTCCATGAGTTATGTATTAACAATGACATTATACAGAGAGAAAATAAAATTACAGAATTGAAAAATCTTGCTTATATTACATATTTAGTGAGTACAACAAGATCTGTATTAATGATGATTTTATTCCATGTGTTTTACTCTTCTCATATTTTTTCCTTACACTAACACAAGTTGAAAACCAAGGAAGTCTAGAAAGCGATGATGATATAACACATTGCTAATGGCTGAATAATGATGTCTTGGGTTAGGAATTTAGAATTAAAAGCAACTAACTCAGTGTGGTCAGGTTGTATTTCAATAAGCCATGGAATATGCCAGTGAAACTATTTGGTAGACAGTGGAATTATTTTAAATTATTTATTTCAAGACAGGTTTATAGAACTAATTTTAGTGATCATTACTTTTAAGTAGTAATTTAATCATGAGATTGAATAAATTCATCTCAGAAATAGCAGGAGATTTCTTCTTATAGAAGAAATCAAGCAACTACTAAGTAAAATTAAAAAGAGTACTAGAAAAGGAAGATGACAAATTTGGAGGCCTTATGCCATTTTTATCCACAAAAATGTGGATTGTATAACAATAAACACAATATAAAATCTTTGTGATTATATAAGAATTTATTTGAGAAGCTCTAGCATCCCTAAAGAAAATTGAACTGATAATGCCTCAACTAACATGAGTAAGAATACTATTTCACTTTGCCCTTGATTTGCCTTCATCCAGTTTTTCACAGCATGCTGCCATGAGATAGCAATCAACCGATGATTTCCCCAGAGAGCAAAGAAGAGAACGAAGCGTGCATCTCAGTGTCGGGAGCAGGTACTAAGAAAATAGTTTCTATTCTCCCTCAGGGAAAAAGGGATAAATGATTGTGTATAGTCATAATTCCTATGGACTGCTAAAATAAAAAACTGTTAATGACTGGCTCAGCACCCTATCCTACCTCCAGCTGTCTACTTATCCTCCAGTAGCTATAAAAATCCAGCATCCTCCATGATGCCCAATAACTGGGTCCCTAGGAGGTAGCAAGAATTGCAACTGCCCACACTGATTGCAACTTCTGGGAATGTACTGCAGCTAACAGAATCGGTGTCATCAGGTTGATATGGATAACAACAGTTTCTAATCCTCACAAAATTCCTAGCCTTAGGTATCAGCCCTGAGCAATGGGTTAATCAAAGGGAAACTAAATGTTGGTTTCTTCAGTGATTCTGAGAAGAAAACATTTCCTCTATGCATCCTTTTTAAGGTTAAAAGGGACCAATGATGGATAGATTATACATAAATAGATAATAAATAGATGATGACAGGTAGATATAGATAGATGAGATAAATACATGATAGATAGATAGATCAATAGACAGACACATGATATAGATAGGCACAGGAAAATTTTCTTAGTAAATATTATAAGGGGCAGACTCAAACATTATAATGTATAAGTAAATACAAAAAGCCAACATAGCTAGCTCCCTCCTTTCTGCTTTATCTATATCTCCCTAGCTCTTTGAGATGTTTTTAAGTTGCAAGTCTCCTTGGATGGGCAGAGGTACAGAAAAAATGAAACACATGCATGTCTAGCAAAGAGAAGTCCTAAAACACATCTATTGCTCCTATGTTTTCAGTAGTCCTAGATTACAGCTCTCTGTTTTAGCACCGAAATTAGCCATCCAGGTCCCTATCATATTGATTACAGATGGCTAATTATGACCTCATATATCCCCCAGCTCAGAAATGTTTTTCCTCTTTTCCTTTTCTCCCTACCTTTATCCTAAATTTCTTCACTGCTGATAAACTTTCTTATCATTTTCAAACATTTGTATGTCTTATCTGATTTCTTCTCTCATATGACACAAGGCCTGAGGTAGATAGCAGTGCTGAGGTTCCAGTAACAATAACACATAACAATCCACATGTATTATAATGCAAGCACGGATTACAGCTGCCCAAGTGGGTTGCAGCAACTGAGAAATCCCTAGTACCCAGCATAGCACCCAGCACTAAGTACTGATTGCAATGGCTACATGTATTTCAGAGACTGTTTCAACACCATCAGAGTTGCTGTATCCAGCACCAGCACAGGCAAAAATTGTGAATGCTGCTCACAATGAGTTTAAACTAACTATATGGATTTTGCCATGCAGGAGCTACACAGCAGGAAAGACCGGGTGCTCATAACAGCAGATCATGCTTTCATAGTACAACTGTGAAACATGGATTTTAGCAAATTATTTCAGCATCTATCTTATTTGTACTAAAACTGGATAAGGCACATGATCCTGAGTTTTGTTTCAGGACACAAGGTGGAAGGAAGGTAAGGATTGCACTCAACATTCCAGCATATCAGTTCAGTGCTCTAGGGGAAAAC